ACATGAGACAAGACAAAGTATATGTGAACTGCTGTATGGAAAGTGAATTTGCTCTGTAAATCTTCACCCAAATCACAATTAAAAAAAAAAAAGTAATAAAAAAAAAAGAACAATTGCAAACTAAATATTTATTCTTTTCAAGCGTGGTTCTAGACATAGACACATGTTGTTCCTCTCAGGAATCCATGGTTTAGGCCTGTGGCCATGTTTAATGGACCAGGAATGTCTCAGCAACAGGCATAATCTCTGCTGTTCTCTTCTAGGTGTTTACCTTGCTGTGGATTGCTGACTGGATGGTCCATCACTTCTGGAGGAAAGGAAAGGACCCAGATAGTTTCTCCATCCCCTATCTGACAGCATTGGGGGATTTGCTTGGGACAGCTTTGTTAGCCTTGAGTTTTCATTTTCTTTGGCTTATTGGAGATCGCGATGGAGATGTTGGAGACTGATGAATCCTACAGACTGCTCAGAAGTGACCAAGGAGCAAACAGAGGACAGCCACTTGTAGTTCTTTTTAAAAAATCTTAAATCAGGGTAATTTTCACTTGGCCCTGATTCAACTAAATGGCCTTAACTCTTTTTAAAGGAATTTGTGTTGAGACCAGGTTGAAGACTATTTGTGCTGCTTTTCATAGAATAAATGATAATTTGACATTGATGTAGATACAAGCTCAAGCTCTGAAATTAATTAAATAGGGAAGACTATGGAATGTTTACAGTGAATGGTTTTGAAACCACATACACAGCAGAAATGGACTTCATTATTGTGTAACTTGTAATGCACGTTGTCGGAGACAGAGCTCTAGTGTAGCCTTTCTTGCCTCACAGAGGTGCAAAGCAGGATGAAAGAGGCCCAGCCAGTCTTTTAATAGTTTTAACTGTATCCACCTCTGTGCTCAATGAGGATGAACTTAAAATTAGCTGTCCCTACGCCAGCCTTGTTTTGTCCTGGTGAGCATGAGATAGATCTACTTTCCCCTGCATCAATTTATTACCCATGCCAAGGCTAGTTTAATTTTCACTCTCCACATTCTTAGCAGGGTACCCTTCAAAAAGAAGGGCCTTGGGAGGTCTGTAATCAAAGCATTGGGTCATTTTTGGTCACTGATTCGTTGAAATATTGTTGATTTTTCCCTAAAACCTATTAATAGTCAAAAGAAGAAGATAACCTCAAGCTGAGTTCCTAGGGACAAGATGCTGTAGGAAATCATGCGTGTGTGTGTGTTTCAGAGAGAGGAGGAAGGTTTAGTGGATAACTAAATCTTGGATTGTTGATAGCAAAGATCCTAGTGCTGCTGGATTATCAGCATATAGAGCTATTCTTAAACACATTTCACTGATACGCTTTTGCCATTTGGTCCAAAAATGTTGCTGTTAGCCAGAATTTAGTATTTGTTACTCATATTATAATTAATAGTTTCTTCTGACTGGAAAAAAAATGCCATTTAATATAACCAAGATATAAATAATATTTAGAATGGGCAAGTAGATTCATTTGCTGTTTTAAAGGAGTCTTAGACTTTCCCTTTTAAAAGAGAAGTTGGTGGATTAGCATTATTCTATTCAAAGCCTAGACAAACCATCTGTTTCCACAGGCTTCTTTGAACATGGGACCCTATCATAGACACTGCTACGGTTCTCAAGTATTTTTTCTAAAACTCTGAAGTCTGGATCAGCACCTTAATTGTTCAGTATGTAAACATTGGTATGTGACTTCCAGTTCATCATCCACGCAGTGTTTTGTTCTGTTGTACATAGAGTCACTATGAGTCGGAGCCGACTCAGTGGCACCTAACGACAACAACAGTTCATAAAAAAAAAAAAAAAAAAAAATTGCAGTGCCATTGCTCCAAGACTATCAGATATTTAATCATTTAACAGAGAAGGGAAGAAATGTAATTCCCACTCATTTTGATCATCATGGTTTAGGTTGTATGTTAGTGTTAGCATTATATAAATAGCAGGTTGTTTATAAATATAGGGGGGAATGTTCCTTCTGAACTCTTTAATACAAGGGGACGGTGGTTCAGAGTTATATATTTTTGCTTTTTTTAAACTTTAATTATTCCATTCTTCTGCCTTTTAATGAAGCTTCTAAGGCAGAGAGCAAAACTAATTATAGAATTTCTCCTTTGGAGAGTTATAATGTCACATAGTAAACTTCTTATAAAAGAAAGAATGATTATGTTTAAGTTGATAAATATTTAACTGCAAAGTTTTTTATTTAAAAAAATCTATGAAAAATTTCTTTATTGTAAAGCATCTATAAATTAGTTGTTTACATTCGTGCTATATGATTCATGAGCACTTGAATTTCCCAATGATTTCTATTTTTATTTCTTTTTAACGCACAAAATATTGCATGTCCAGCAAGCCACATTTTTAAAGTATTTTTAAGTCTAGTGGTGGTATATATTCCAAAGCCCTTTCAGATACTATATTATTTAGTACTTACAACTCATTGCTGTGGAGTTGATTCTGACTCATAGTGACCCTATAGGATTGTCTCATTGGATTTCCAAGGCTGTAAACTTTACAAGAGCAAATTGCAACGTTTTTCTCCCACAGAATAGCTGCTGGGTTCGAACTGCTGACCTTTCGATTAGCAGCCAAGTGTGCAACCAGAGCGCCTATTACTCAACAGTCTCTCAGAAATAGGCTGAGTAGATATTGTTAAGCAGCCCTAGTGACAATGGTTCAGCACTCACCTGCTAACTAAAAGGTATGCAGTTTGAACCCACCAGCTACTCTGCTGAAGAAGAGGCTTTAGCAATGTGCTCCTGTAAGGGATACAGCCTAGGAAACTCTGTAGGGCCCTTCTACTCTGTCTTATAAGTTCACTGTGAGTTAGAATTGACTTGATGGCACACAGCAACGGATATTGTTCTCTCTCTTTTAGAGAAGAACAAACTCAAGTTAAATTTTTAAGGTTGCACAGCTACAATGTGGCCACATTATGACTAAAGTACCTAAAGTCTGTGTCTGCTGTCTCCTAGGCCAGTATTCTTTCTATGACACATTGATGCCCCTCCTGGAGGACCTAACTGAGAGGATGCTAACTGGAAAAACAGTATTGTCAAAAGTAGAATAGAGCATTGCTCCCCTTTGAGATTTCAGCTAGGGAAACCTCCATTTAGTGTATCTTGGTGGTGAGTACAGGCAACTCTGAACTATTTATGTTCACAAGACCAAGGAAAACAGATAAATGAAAACTTTAGAATAAAGAACAATGCCTTCACAGAACATTGAATTGCCACCACCCTTCCCAGATGTAGCTATTTGCATATATGCTAATTAAATAACTAGGATGACTGATCTGAGTTCTATTGGCTTTCCCTTTTGCTGCCAAATCTTGATTAGAGCAACAAAATATCTAAAAGGCATGTAATAGAAGAAGGGGGAAAGACATGGAAAAACCAACCAAAAATTAGCTAAATTTATGAAAGGAATATAGATTTCTTTAAAAAATGATGACTGGTCTTTTGAAAACCTTCCTATAAGTAGACAACTATTAAGATGACTTGTTTGACCACAAAAATTATCAGTCTTATATAATGTAAATTCAGTTACTTTTATACAACAAAACTCCTGCTTTCTAAACTTCTTTCTTTTATTAATTTATCAGATCCTTTATTTGTACACAGATAATCTTTTTTAAAACTATACTTTTCATTCTTGCCCATAATCATTTTTTTCTTTCAAATAGAAATTTTCTTAGAATCTGAATAATAGAAACTTAGGCAATGTATTTCCTGGGACAGATAAAAAATTCCATGTTATAGACTATCAATGAATGCCAAATGAAGTACATTTTCTTAAGTCTTTGAGTAATTGGGCTTCCTTGCCTTATATCTGTGGTATAGTATATCCATTTATAATGGGCACCTGCCATCTTTGAATTATTGCAAACTTAAATAAGAATAAAATTTAAGAAATATTTACCCAGTCTCGTTGTGATTACTTCTTGATGAACTAGGTGAACAGTGAGCCTGTGTGGAACTCACCCAGAAGAGACTGTAGAGTGATCATATATACATATGTTGTATTTATGAAGTATAATAAATTGGTCTTTGACTATACCTAAACCTCCAGTCCATTGATATTAGCAGTTTTTCACTGTTAAGTACTCATGTTCTCACTCCCTTCATTATCAGCTTAGGTTCCTTAGTGCGTCATCTGTAACATTTGAACAGCACATCACCCACCTTGACCTAATTGACATTTATAGACCACTATATCCAACAACCACAGAATATACATGAAGGGCTAATCAGAATATAAAAAGGATTTTAGTAAATCTGGAAGAAAAAGACCAACAACCCACTAGTAAAATAAGCAAAGGGTATATGGTTCACAGAGAAAAACTGCTAGTGGAGGCTCATTATCAATCAAACTAAGAGAAATGATAGTTAAATACTACTTCTCACCTATCAGATTGGCAAACATTCAAAATCGGATAAAAAATTTTTCTTGGCAAGGCTGTAGGGAAACAGACAAAATTGTTGATGGTAGCTGTTAGGTGCTGTCAAGTTGATTCTGACTCATTGCAACCCTGTGTACAACAGGACAAAACACTGCCCAGTCCTGCACCATCCTCACAATCCTTGCTACGTTTGAGCCCATTGTCACAGCTGCTGTGTCAGACCATCTCATTGAGGATAGTCTTCTTTTTCATTGACCCTCTACTTTACTAAACATGATGTCTTTTTCCAGGGACAAGTCCCACTTGGTAATGTGTCCAAAGTGAGATGAAGTCTCACCATCCTCACTTCTTGGCTATACTTCTTCCAAGACAGATTTGTTCGTTCTTCTGGCAGTCCTTGGTATATTCAGTATTCTTTGCCAACACCGTAATTCAAATCCATTAATTCTTTTCTGGTCTTCCTTATTCAGTGTCCAGCTTTTGCATGCATATGGTGGTAGTACAGAGTGATAACAGCTCTGTGGAAAGGAATGTGGCCATATCTATCAGAGTTACAGATGAACTAATCATTTGATCCTGTAATCCCTCCATTACTATGTTGGGCCCTCTGCCTCCTGATTTAGAGCAGGAGTTGGCAAACTATGGCCAAAGACCCAAGTCCAGCCTGCTGTCTGCTTTTTTTAAAAAAAAAAAAAAA